GGGGACAGATGGGGCAAGGGGAGGGTGGGAGACATGGCAGCAAAGGGAAAATGGAAAGGTTTATAATTTGGGTGCCACAGCAGCACCCATCCGAACAAGCACACCCAAACTCAATCTGGTACACAAGACAAAACTCACTGCGCTCTTGGATGGAAATCTCAGAGGAAACATGGCTGGGGGGGGCCCCCTGCCAGCTGCTTCTGAGCCCATTGCCTCTCCCTACTTCTGGCCCCGATCCCCAGCCTGCTACCACAGAGCTTGAACTTCAGCCCTGGCTGGGGCTTCCAATTAGCTCCTGCTCCCAGCTACCAGGGACCAGAGAGTCCTGGACGGTTGAGGTTCCGGAAGCCGATATGAAGCCACTTTTCCTTTGTTAGAAGCCATGAACATCACTCCACTCTGTTTTGCTGCCTCCCCCAATTGGAGTAACCACAGTTTCTATAGCAGTCCCAACACACAGACCAAGCACTGCAGAGTACAGCAGGTCTCTGAGAAGTTCCACACCTTTGTACAGTACTGTGCGTCTCTGGATAAAACCCCTCTCGCAATGGCTATGAAGCCACTTTTCCTTTGTTAGAAGCCATGAACATCACTCCACTCTGTTTTGCTGCCTCCCCCAATTGGAGTAACCACAGTTTCTATAGCAGTCCCAACACACAGACCAAGCACTGCAGAGTACAGCAGGTCTCTGAGAAGTTCCACACCTTTGTACAGTACTGTGCGTCTCTGGATAAAACCCCTCTCGCAATGGCTATTTTTCCAGACAGTGACACATTCTTCCTCTTCAACTGCACTGACCCAACTCTCTAGAGGACAGATGTAGGGGTCAGACCACCAGGAAAGTACCATTACTGATCCTGAGCTCAGATAGCTCTTACCTGACTACGTCGCTGCTTCAGTTTGATCTTGACGAGAAGAATGAGGCAAACGAGCGAGACGACCACAAAAAAGGCTAGGAAAATCCCCATGTCAAAGTACTCTGTGGGTTGCTTAGACATGAAGAAGACAGAGTAAGTTTAACTTGCCTCCCCAGGCAGATCACATTCAAATCCCTTCAAATGCCCTTCAAATCCATTCCCCCCTTCTCTTATTTCTTGATAATTACAGTTGACATCAATGCCCCTAGGGCCTGAATTCCATTATAGAAAAGGTCACTGTGCCATGGGGCACAGCTGCTCAGGAACCCTGACTGCATGAGCCAGACTCTTAGGTCAATACCTTTGAATGAGGTCAATTAACACTATTTTATAAAATTCCATGTACTTAATGGTGAATATTCAGGGGTTCTCTTTATATTTAGGAATATGACAAACAATCAAATACAAACTGGAAGGAAGTCACATTTGCCACAGGAACCTAAGTGTGTGGTGGGACACAGATTTAGTGTCTAAGGTTTACAGTAGCTCAGAACTCAGTGCTGGTTCTACAAACAACAGGTTTCACCAGAGTGAATCACAATTACCAACAGCTCCAGTGGGTTTTTGGTACAATTCTCTTTCAGAAGCAAGTAAAATCAACATGGTCAAGTCCTTGGCAAACAACTGATTGCTCAAATGAGTCATGCTTCCTAACAGAGTTGATGCTTTCAGAATCCAGAAAAAAATGAAGAAATCTGATCTACTCTGATTTTTATGTTTGCTTTTCTCATATAAACTATATCTAGGAAGTGTTCAAGATTATTTGGGAATATTCATTCTAGACTGGAAGGGGACTAAAATCTCAGATTTCTTTGTTAATCCATGCATGAAAAATGCTATCTAGAAATGTTTGCTAACCTCAGACAGAGTGTCTTCCTGGAAGTTCAGCCCTTCAGAGTGCAACAATTAACTTATTTCATTTAAATGTTTTGTGTCTTTATTAAAGGGCCATTATGATAACAAAAACAAAAAGTCCCTATGTGATATAAGGCCAGACTGAGAACCTCTAACTTAGCACTGGAACACAGGTGACTTGAGAAATCCCATGGAAGTCAATGACACTTTGTGAGTAAGTGTGTCTAAACTACCTGGCTCCATCAATGGAGCCATGTAGATTTGTTTGTTTGGCAGGATTGTATGCCTCGGAGGATGAGGTTTACTGGGGAGGTCAATAAAGGGCTTTCATGTTGGCATGGGAGCGTCCAGACTAGTGCACTGAGCCGACAAACAGCTGATCAGCTGTTTGTCGGCTCAGTGCACTAGTCTGGACGCTCCCATGCCAACATGAAAGCCCTTTATTGACCTCCCCAGTAAACCTCATCCTCCGAGGCATACAATCCTGCCAAACAAACAAATCTACATGGCTCCTTCGACGGAGCCATGTAGTTTAGACATAGCCTAACTGTTCTCCAATCAGCACACATGGAAAGTGTCACTGCACATGTTATCAACAAATCGTATTAACACGCGCTGCATGAAACAACAGTAGCACAGTTCCCACTGCACATTGAGTCTCACCCGAGGGGGCCGGTGCTGAATCCTTGCTCGGGCCACTTTCTGCTTGTTAACTATGTTCATCAATTTGACTGCATCAGCCCCCTTCACATACACCACTGGCCTCTTCAGTGGGTCTTCTGAGCCCTGGTTCAGCTAGAAGAGAACACAGTAAAATTCCACTAAGTAGATGGACTTCAGGCCAGCAGCTCTCTTTTCAAGAGGATGGAGAGGAGACCACGGGTGAATGAAGACAGCACCACAATTGCTGCCATTTGTCCTTTTCTAGCACAGCCTTTTACCTGAGAATTTCAAAACACTGCACAAACATGAAATTACCTTCAAAGCCTGAGTTAAAATTAGGGCTGTCAATCAATGGCAGCTAATACATACAACTGACTCAAAAATGTATCACTATTAAAAATTAATTGAATTAACTGCAGTTTTAATTGCAATGTTAAACAATACTAATTGAAATCTATTAAATATTTTAGGATGTTTTCCCTACTTTTCCAAATATATTCATTTCAATTACACCACAGAATACAAATTATGCACTGATCACTAGATATTTATATATATATAAAAAAGTTTTTCCTGTCAGATGACAGAATGTTCCTGAAGGGCGACAGAATTACTTCATCACATTATCAGCGTCAAGAGGCTCTCTCAGTGAAGCAAAAGTGGCCTGGGAGGGAAGTAGGTGAGCATAGTGGGCAGACAGTGCAGCCCCTAGTTATTTTTTATAAAAAATGTTTGCACTGAAAAATAATAAATAAGACAAAGTGTATTTTCAATTCACCTCATACATGCATGCAGTACAATCTCTACTGTGAAAGTGCAACATACAAACTCAGATTTTTTTGTTACTTAAGTGCATTCAAAACCAAAACAATATACAACTGCCAAGCCTGCAAGTCCACTCAGTCCTACTTCTTGTTTCGCTAATTGCAAAGACAAACAAGTTTGGTTACAATTTACAGGAAAGAAGCTGCCTGCTTCTTATTCGCAATGTCACCTGAAAGTGAGAATGGGCGTTTACATGGCACTTGTGTAGTCAGCACTGCAAGGTATTTTCATGCCAGATAAGCTAAACTTTTGTATACCCCTTCGTACTTTGGTCATCATTCCAGAGGACATGCTGCTATGCTGATTATGCATGTTAAAAATGCATTAATTAAATCTGTGACTCAACTTGCTAGGGGAGAATTGTATATCTCTTGCTCAGTGTTACCCACATTCTACTATTTAGTTAATGTCATTGCAGTCCTAGATGATGGCCCAGCATACGTTGTGTCTCTATATATACACATTAGTTTTTTCCTGCAGGACAACAAATTGATGTCATCGCGTCATCTGCATCTCACCACCCTCTCTGCCCTCAATCACCCTGTCTCCTTACTCCCTCCCATCCAGATTCTCCAGTGGGATGGGAGACATGCAGCATCCCTCTTTCCAGGAGGGCTGGAACTGCAAGACCTCCCTCCTTGCAGGGCGGCTGGGAGCCTTGCACCTTACCCCTTCCCAGGGGGGCCGGGAGCTGTGCGCCCTCCCCAGCGCTCCAGGGAGGGGTTGAGAGCTACAGTCCTCTCCCCCGAGAGCTGCATACCCTCCTGCAGCTAGGCACCCTCCCCCCTTTAGGAGTGGTGAGGAGCCAGGAGCTATGTGTCGTCCCCTCTCCCAGGGGAGCGGTGGGAGCCAGGAGCAGCCGAGAACCATGCGCCCTTCCCCCTCTTGGGGGTGGGGGAGCAGGAGCTGTGTACCCTCCCTCCTCCAGAGGGCTGATAGGAGCCAGGAGCTGCACAGGGGGGGGGGGGGAAAAAAGCCATAATCCCTCCTCCCATCCACAGCTCCATCACATACGCCCTCAGCCAGGACCCCACGCCCCCCAGTTCACTCACATACTTCCTTGGCTGAGACCCTGCACTCCCAGCCCCCTCACTCACCACCCTGCTAAGTTCCTGCACCCCTCGTCTCCTCACTCATTCCTTCCACTGAGACCCCGAACCCAGCCTGCTCCCTCTCTCTGGCCAGACACCTACCCCCAGAGAGAGGGGGGTTGGTGAGCATAGCGAGCAAGGGGTGCAGCCCCCTAGTTTGTTTAAAGAACACTTTCACTGCAGATTTTACAAAATGCAAAGAAAGTACCAGTCTGAGATTTCTAAAGACAGTCAAGCACTCAACCCAAGGCTTAAGAATTTAAATGCCTTCCAAAATCTGAGAGGGACAAGGCATGGAGCATTCTTTCAGAAGTCTTAAAAGAGGAATGCTCTGATGAGGAAAACATAAAAAAAAAAAAGTCAACCTTCAATAGATGGCATTGATTCAGATTATGAAAATGAACATCCATTGGTCCACATTGCTCTGGATCATTATCAAACAGAATCCATCATCAGCAAGGATGCATATATCCTTTGGTATAGTAGCTGAAACCTAAAGGAACATATGAATCTTTAGCACATCTTGCAATACCAGCTACAACAGTGCTGTGCAAATGCCTGTTCTCACTTGAAGTGACATTATAAACAAGAAGTAGGCAGCACTATCTACTGTAAATGTAACCAAACTTGTTTCTCTGAGCAACTGGCTGAACAAGAAGTAGGCCTGTGTGGAATTACAGCCTCTAAAGTTTTACATTATTTTGTTTTCAATACAGTTTTCTTATGTACAAAATTCTACATTTCATTACAAAGATTGCACTATGGTACTTTTAATAGGGAGAACCAAAAATTGCTAATTTTTTTTTGAAGTGCAGGTATTTGTAATACAAATATAAAGTGAGCTTGTTTTAAATATAATTGAAAATGTAGAAAAATCATCCAAAATATTTAAATAAATGGTATTCTATTGTTTTACAGCATGATTAATTGTGCTATTAATTGTGTGATTAATCACAATTTTTAACTGCTTGACAGACCTAGTTAAAACTTAATCAATTTTTCAATTAAAATTCACAGAGGAAAAATAAAAGTTGAGATATTAACAATTTTAACATACTTGCAATATATATAGTATATGCTTTAATTGTGCATATTTTAGCACAGATATACATTAAACTTCAAGCTAAAGAAGAAGAATAAAAATACTATGAGTGCTACAAAAAAATTAACTTGGTTGCAGGGTACATTTTCTATTTTTGTTACTGTTTTAACTGTTTAGTTTTAATATTATACTGACAATTTTTGTATTTAAGCTTCCCAGTCTTTCCACAGCAGTTGAGGGCTTTTGAGTTTGTAGATCATCCATGCTGCACACATTTCTTTCAACAGAATAAAGTTCCCAGCATGTAAGCCCTTTGACTTGTAAACTCACTGTTACAGAGTTATTTGGCTTCTAATGCTCATTTGAACTAAAATGAGGCCTAATCTGCAAAGAATTATGCACATACGTAGTCAATTCAATTAGACAATTTGAATTTATCATAAATGTTTTGTATATGGGAGGAATCTTCTAATTGAGGGTATATCTACACTACGAAGTTAATTCGAACTAACAGACATTACTTCGAATTAACTTTGATAGGTGCTACACATGCAAACCGCTAGTTTGAATTTAATTGGAACTAGTGGAGCGCTTAATTCGAACTAGGTAAACCTCATTCCACGAGGACTAACGCCTAGTTCGAATTAACTAGTTCGAATTAAGGGCTGTGTAGCCACTTAATTCGAACTAGTGGCAGGCTAGCCCTCCCCAGCTTGCCCTGGTGGCCACTCTGGGCACTACCAGGGAAACTCTTCTGCCCCCTTCCCACCCCCGGAGCCCTTAAAGGGGCATGGTCTGGCTACGGTGCCCATGCCAGGGAGCCTGCCCGGGTCCGCAAGAGGTGGGTGCCCGCCTGGTCTAGTGCGGACATCGTGGACCTCATCCACGACCTCCACACTAGGCACAGGAAAGTGGCTGTCTAGGGCAGGACAGCTGCCAGCCTGGCCACCCAGGAGCAGGTTGGCATGAAAATCAAGGTGGTCCACTGAGACCCCCGAACCCAAGCCCAAGATTTGGTGGTGATGGGGGACTTCAACTATCCAGACATATGTTGGGAAACTAACACAGCGGGGCACAGGCTATCCAATAAGTTTCTGGCCTGCATTGGAGACAACTTTCTGTTTCAGAAGGTTGAAAAAGCTACCAGAGGAGAAGCTGTTCTGGATTTGGTTTTAACAAATAGGGAGGAACTAGTTGAGAACTTGAAAGTGGAAGACAGTATAGGGGACAGTGATCACGAAATAATAGAGTTCATGATCTTAAGGAAAGGTAGAAGGGAGACCAGCACAATTGAGGTTATGGATTTCAGGAAGGCAGATTTTGATAAGCTCAGAGAACTTGTAGGTAAGGTCCCATGGGAAGCAAGACTGAAGGGAAAAACAACTGAGGAGAGTTGGAAGTATTTCAAAGGGACGTTGTTAAGGGCCCAAAAGCAAACAATTCCGCTATGTAGGAAAGATAGAAAATATGGCAAAAGACCAGCTTGGCTTAACAAGGAGATCTTGCATGATCTCAAAATAAAAAAGGAGTCATATAAAAAATGGAAACTAGGACAAATAACAAAGGATGAATATAGGCAAGCAACACGGGAATGCAGGGGCAAGATTAGAAAGGCAAAGGCACAAAATGAGATCAAACTAGCTACAGGCATAAAGGGAAACAAGAAGACCTTTTATAAATACATTAAAAGCAAGAGGAAGACCAAGGACAGGGTAGGCCCACTGCTTAGCGAGGAGGGAGAAGCAGTAACAGGGAACTTGGAAATGGCGGAGATGCTCAATGACTTCTTTGTTTCGGTCTTCACCGAGAAGTCTGGAGGTGTGCCTAACGTAGTGAATACAAGCAGAGAGAGGGTAAGTTTAGAAGATAGGATACACAAAGAACAAGTTAAAAATCACTTAGGAAAGTTAGATGTCAGCAAGTCACCAGGTCCTGATGAAATGCATCCCAGGATACTCAAGGAGCTGATAGAGGAGGTATCTGAGCCTTTAGCTATGATCTTTGAAAAATCATGGCAGACAGGGGAGATTCCAGAAGACTGGAAAAGGGCAAATATTGTGCCCATCTATAAAAAGGGGAATAAGAACAACCCAGGAAACTACAGACCGGTCAGTTTAACGTCTGTCCCAGGGAAGATAATGGAGCAGGTAATTAAGGAAATCATATGCAAACAC